ACCCATTAAACAACTATGTGTCTACCTGTCACTTGTCTGAATCAAATAAGTTGTTTGTGAATCAATTGTCTACTGTATATATTCCTAATAGTGTGCAAGAAGCCTTAGCTTATCTTAGATGGAAAACAACAATGAATGAGGAACTAAGGTCGCTGAAGAAGAATGCTACCTGGGAACTATCGGACTTACCAGTAGGCAAGAAACTTGGGGGATGTAAATGGGTCTATAGAGTGAAATACAAAGCAGATGGAACGGTTGATAGGTTTAAAGCAAGACTAGTAGCAAATGACGGTTGATAAGTTTAAAGCAAGACTAGTAGCAAAGGGGTACACTCAGAAGTATGGCATAGATTACACGGACACCCTTGCGCCAGTAGCCAAGATCAATAGTATCCGAGTTCTCTTGTCCATGACAGCGAACCTAGACTGGCCACTTCAATAGTTCGATGTTAAAAATGCATTCCTACATGGAGATTTAACTGAAGAAATTTATATGGAGCTTTCACCAGGATGTACCGGAACAGACATGAACAAGGGTAAGGTATGTAAGCTAAATAAGTCATTATATGGATTAAAGCAGTCATCAAGGGCATGGTTCGGCAGGTTCACTAAATCAATGAAGGCTTTCAGGTATAGCCACATCAATTGGGATCACACCTTGTTCTTGAAACAAAAGAATAAAAAGATTACAGCACTCATTGTATATATGGATGACATGGTGGTTATCGGGAATGACCCAATGAAACAATCAGCTCTAAAGAAGTATTTGTCTACGGAGTTCAAAATGAAAGATCTTGAACCTTTAAAATACTTTTTTAGGATTGAGGTATCAAGAGGCAAGTCTAGGATATTCTTGTCCCAAAGAAAGTATATCATTGATTTGTTAAAGGAGACCGAGATGTTAGCCTGTAAACTTGTAGCAACTCTGTTGGTTGAAGGAATGAAGTTGAGCCTCGACAAGAATCAAGTACTCGTAGAGAAAGGAAGATTTAAAGGTTAGTTGGAAGATTGATGTATTTGGCACATACAAGACTTGATATTGCTTATGCCTTGAACGTAGTCAGTCAGTGTATGCATGATCCGGAAAAACAATATATGAGTGCCATGATGAGAAATTTGTGTTACTTGAAGGGACGTCCAGGTAAAGGAATTATGTTTAAGAAAAATGAGCATTTCAGAATCGAAGGGTATACTGTTGCGACTGGGCGGGTTTGTTAGATAATCGACGCTCAACATCAAGATATTTCACTTTTGTTAGTGGTAATCTAGTAACATGGAGAAGTAAAAAGCAGAATGTAGTAGCTCGTTCAAGTGCAGAAGCGTAATATAGAGATATGGCTCTTGGTATTTCTGAACTCTTATGGCTTAAGTTTCTATTACAACATTTGGGGGTCAACCATAGTTCACCGATGAAGTTATTTTGTGACAACAAAGCTACTAAGGATATCACTCATAATCCGGTACAACATGATATGACAAAGCATGTGGAGGTTGATAAGTTCCTCATTAAAGAGAAATTGGAGGAAAAAATAATTGAATTGCCCTCGATTAGGACCGAGGATCAAGTGGCTGATATACTCACAAAGGCTGGTTCGAGTGACAAGTTCTCAAGCTTCTTGGACAAGTTGGGCATGTGCGACATATATGCACCAACTTGAGGGGGAGTGTTGACTTGTATAATATTTCCTGTTAATGCTGGGATTCCTATAATATTGAGTTTTCTAGTTTAGGATGTAGATTGATTGTAATTATTATTTCCTTATTGTAGTAGGACTGTACATGATTATATATACCTCATAATGAAAAGAATACAATTAACACATTCAAAGCATTCTCTTCTCTAACCACCCATCATTCGAGTTTAGGTTGTTTTGAAAAACAAACTAAAATTGAATAGGAAAATTAAGAAATTAAGAAATAAAGAACCCGAATCTATTATTTCTCTTACAATTTGGTTCTGATCCTCCTCATTTCAACTTCTTTTAGGAGTGGAGAGTCTTAAGAGTGTAGTGGGAAAGTCCGGCCATATACGCCAAGCCCATTTACAAAATTGGCTGTTTATACGCAACGCTAACCGTAGGCGGAGGATTTGAAAGAAGGAAGACCCGGTTGAGCTGAGTTATCCACACACACAACACCAATACACAGGAGCGGAGCATTATGACCATGGCCTCACAGTCACAGTCACTCCAATTCTTTCACAGCCACATAATCATAAGAAAAAGCACTCTTCCTCCTCCTTCCGTTCCTTTTCATTTCCAGGTCCCCAAATCCCTATTTCTTGATTAATTTGCACTTTTTTACTCTTTCTTCTTCTTTCAATTTAATTAGGGCTTTTCCATACTTGCAGTTGCAGTTGCAGGGTGGTTATACTTATACGCCATATGCTACAGTTGGCGTTGTACGCAGGAGGCCTCCCTCCAGATTCTCTCTCAAGTATCAAACAATGGCTATGGCCAATGCCAATGTGAGTGCTTCGCCTTCGCCCACTCCCACTCCCACTCCGGAGGCACCACTTTCATTTCGTTACACTTAGAGCTCTGCACAATCACTACTCAGTCAATAGAATGAATAGGTTTCACAACAATTGGTACGGTAGGTAATTTGGTTGTGTGATTTTAGGATGTAGAGCAGCAGCAGCCGCAGCTGCAAGCCACAGTCACAACCAAGTGCTTCTTGGACATAGATATTGGCGGCGAAGCTGTTGGTCGCCTTGTATTGGGCCTCTTCGGTCAAGTTGTTCCCAAAACCGTTGAAAACTTTCGCGCCTTGTGCACAGGCAAACCCCCCAAACAACCTTTCTTTCTTTTTCCCTTTCCTTTCTAATTGGCATCGCTGCTCTTTTTCTTCTTCTACTTCTTTTGCTTTATAGTTTATACTAATATTGATTTATCGTTCTTGTAGGAGAGAAAGGATATGGTTATAAAGGATGCTCTTTCCACCGCATCATCAAAGATTTTATGATCCAAGGAGGGGACTTCACTCAAGGAGATGTGATCTCTCTCTATCTCCCACTCTCTCCCTCTCTAATAAATGCAGTAGGATCGGATCTCATTGGTTTCTAAGCTAATCCAAATTTAATTGTTTTTACTCGCCGCAGGGAACTGGGGGAGTTAGTATCTATGGTTCCAAATTTGCAGATGAGAGTTTTGCATGTATGTTCTTGTTACATGGCATACAAAATAAGGAAAATGGAATACATTTCTAAATTGTTGTTATTTCAATTTGTATGGGAAACAAGAACTTTTAACTGGAGTTGAGAATTGAGATCCTATCATTTGAGAGGCATTTGATTGTGAGCTGAAAGCCCTTACCATACTGACTTGAAGAAACACTTGCAGTGAAGCATGTTGGTCCTGGTGTGCTGAGCATGGCTAATGCAGGCCCTGGTACTAATGGGAGCCAGTTTTTTATTTGCACGGTGAAGGTGAGATGGCTGCTGCAACTATGCAATCCTCTCTCTCTGTATCACACATTTAACTAAATACTTTTCTCTTACTTGGGTTTGAATTCTCGTCATGCTTTCCTTCAAATTCCAAGTCTATTCTTTATTTCCATCCGTTATGGTCAGCAGTGAATTTTTTGCAACTTAATAGCTGAGTAGGTGCTACTGCTTTGTTCTGTTGCAGTCTGGTGGAGAAGATTTTATTATATTGTCATCGAAACAACCATACTAAACTTTGAGATAAAATATTTAAACAAGCCCATACAACATATATGAGATTCATCAGCAGTTGAAAGAAGCACTGGGATGCTTATATATGCATGCACAAATGGTTTTTTTAAGGTTTTACTTCTATCTATGGATCAATTTGTGCTTTTTGCATCATCACATATCCTGTCAAAGTAGTAGACATTGGAATGATTGGAAAACACTCATTAGTTTGTAGTTAGTATTTTTATCACTGTGTTAATTTCAGAGTGTCGGAAATGAAACCCTGTCCTTGTCTGTAATTAATTAAAAACAAAAAGAAAGAGAAGATATACATGCGGTATTCTGTTCAGCCAATTTAGCTCTTTGTCGATTAATGCTTTTGGTATGCCTCATGTAGACTCCATGGTTGGACAACCGCCATGTGGTTTTTGGACACGTGATTGAGGGAATGGATGTTCTGAGGAAACTCGAGTCCCAAGAGACAAGCAGGCTGGATGTCCCTCGTTTGCCATGCAGAATAGTTAACTGTGGAGAGTTGCTGTTGGATGACTGATCTGTCTGCCTTACTCGGCATAAAGTACAACTGTGGGATGAAGTTTTCCGGTTTGTCAATTCCAGAGTTGTTCTTAACTATGAATATTATTCTTGCGATGTTTTTGGCTGTGAAATGAAATATACAAGACATAAACATTGTTCATTTCCGCCAAGTTCAAATGCGATTTATATATATAAACACTAGAGATGAAGGTACATGTATTCTGTTGGACTGAATACAGGGACACACTTATCCCTTTGTTTTTAGAACAGAAACTCACGGAGTCGATTACGTGAATTAATGCGGCATCCATTAACTCTATTGTTTTACAAGTGTATAACAACTCATAATTCGTAGGGATCCTTAACTCACTTTAATATACCAAATTACCGCCAGCCCTTGTTAATTGAAATTTGGATTACAAGGTGACTGAAATCGTGACACAGTAGAAGAGAAATGTGCAACGCAAGGGCAACTGTTTCAAGACGAGCTTTTGCCTCTCTCTTGTTACATCGACTCAATCTTCCAAGAATTATAAATACAAACCAAAAGGGATTTCTAAATCATAGAATCGATCTTGTACTGCATTTTTCAAGTTTCAAAACCAAAGAGATTAGCACCACAAGGCACAAACTTGTTTGGGAGCAACTGACTTTCAGTTCCGCATTCATTTGCCAACCTCCCCACATCATATTACATAAAGAAAGAAACGATGATTTTGCAGCTGGTGCCCGTATTCGGATAAAGAAAACTAGCAAGGAGGGGCTTTTGCAGAAGATATATGTATAACGATGTCGATGAGGGCATTAAGTTTCAATGGAGGAGAAGCATAAAGCAAAGATTAACAATACAAACTGCAAAAGTACTACTTCAAAGTCAAGACTTAAGTCAAAGACAGATTGATACAATATATTAGCCTTAATCTGCCATTTCTAATTTATTAACTGTGAATCTGGCTGCGTACCTCACATGTAACAATAAATTCCATGTCCTGTCCAAAGCAACTATTCTACTGGAGGAGTTTGGCTCATTTCACTAAATACTCAACCGGGGATCCATCCGAGATGTGGTCTTCTAATTCATCAACAAGGGCATCATAACGTAAACGATACTGCTCTGGTTTCTGAACCATTCCATCTCGCTGAAATCTGAATGTGGTTCTTGTTTTTACTAAATCTAAACCAGGCATGTTCCCAGAAAGAATTCTCTGCAATGTATCATGAATGGTGCAGTACGTTCCAGTTCTCCCAACACCTGTATTGCAGTGCACCACAATTGGGCTGCAGTCGGGTATGGCGGGTGCTACCTGATACATTACTCTTTTCTCAATTTCACGAACAGAAAATGTATCTTCGGGAACTCCATGGTTAGGCCATTGAGAATACCGAATATGCAAAACAGACATTAGTGGTGAAGGTTCCTCTGAGTGAAGAAGAATGAGCAGCCAGCACCATTCGCGGTATACAGCAGGAATACCCAGGTGACGTTATCAGGCAAGGTCTTTGAAGTAGAGCCGAACTTCTAATCTGCACAAAGAAAGATGGACGTTCAACTACTTAAAGTCAAGAGCAGCTCAGTAAAAATTCCAAGCAGACCATGAATGAGGCAGTTCACTTACCATCAATAAACTCAGTCGAGACGCGTAGCCCAGGCAAGAAGTCGGATTCCCACTCTCAGCTGATCCCCAGAGTGTCCCTGGACCACCCATGGTCACATTTGCTTGACAAATCGAAAAGCCCATGGCGAGACCTCAGTTGCCCTACTTCTTCCTAGTGGCCGATCTCAAAGAAATACTAGAACTCATTGACGGTCAGGCTCAAATCAAAGAACTTGCTCAGGTTCGAGAACCATGCTATCGTTCAAACTGTATTCAGGGAATATTGAGCATGAGCGCATTTCATGATGCAGATCACCTGCGCGGCATGAGAAAGGAGAATTCCAACATAAAATAGTATGAATGGGACTTGATGGCTCTCTTCCCAGCTTTGGCAGCCTCACTGCATGATTCATGGCTACGTCCTTCTTCACTTGTTTCATGCGAACTCCGGGCAAGATTGCACACTTATACATCTTAAGGAAATCCCGAAATAGCTCATCTTACTGGAAGACGTGCCTTGCGGCCCAGCACCCCTCGGCCCATGTCAGCAGAGGCCCCAACCCCACTCCACCGTATGTCCTGAACTGTAAAGCCCATAGGTAGGCCCCATGACCCAGCCTCCTCCTCACGGCGCACTGGCCTCTCCCTCTCCTCTTTAACGAAGTGGCCTCGGACCCGCATCTCCCATCTCAACGCAACAACCAATAGGTCTTGCACTTTCTTTCTTGGACCTGCCAGGTAGGCTTGTGACCTACATTTCCCTATCTCTACTCACAAGCTTGCACCCACGAGAGGCCTAGCCCGCGCTGGCCTTCTTCATTGTCTCTTAGCGCTCCAGCACTAGCATGTGGACTACGCCAGCCCAAGCCGCGGCCCCCTGCCACCCTACTCTTAACCCCAGCCAACTATCTCAGCGTACCACCACCAGCGGTAACCTTGCTGCCTTCCATGACGGCTGCCTCGCGACAGCACCCTTCGAGTACAAAATAAAATAAATTAAAAAAAAAAAAAAAGAAGAAGAAGGAAATTTTCTTTTCTTAAATTGGTGTGGGGCGGAGAAGAAAACAACGACGACAATCAACTCTTCGTAAGGGAAAGCAAAGAAGAAAACTAGGGGATATGGTACAATTTCCTCTAGCATTTTCTCTTTTTATTGTTGGGATAAAAATTTGCTCTCTAAATTTATTTAACTTCCTACTTAAGATAAGTCTAAATAAGTTCTAGAGGTAATTGGTTTCTTATTCCTAGAAGACTTAAACTCCAAGTCAACGTGGAGATTTTACATCAAATTAGGAAACAACTATTTGCTCGCCTACTTAGCTTGGGATTTTCTACATACTACCATTTCTACATACAACCCAACAGGTGTAGGAGCATTTGTAAAGCTAAAAAATAATCCCAAAATCTAGAAGACGACATGTGGACATTTTTTTTTCCAAGAATAGAAGATTGCCCTTATTAAATGGGCGGTGCCTAAAATATTCTCATGCACACTTCAACATCCCTAGAGGTTTGAGCAGTTGGCTACAACATCTCCAAGCTCTCCTGCTCATGGCATGAAAAAGTCAAAGACATAAAAGATACGATTAATCACCAAATACTATCTTTAATACTTTCCTGATTGAAGATCAATGTAAACACGAGAAATTCCTGAAACAAGCGACAAGAATACGTGTACAAAATAATATTTTGTATTAATGATTTTGGGGTTACAATCTCTTTGTAATTTGGTCCTCTGATTCTATCTTCGTAGGGTGTGGGTTTGTGGATGAGTTGTTGATCCAAAGGGCCGTCGGGGCTTGATCTAAGGATGCACAGCTGATGAATGGATCTTCAAGGGGCGTTGGGCTTGATCTTGAAGGTTGATGGATGAACGGATCTTCAAGGGCTTTTGGGCTTAATCTTGAAGGATGAACGGATGTGTGGATTTGTTGAGGTTGTTGATCCAAATGGGCCGTTGGGGCTTGATCTTAGGATGAACGGATCTTCAAGGGTTTCTGGGCTTAATCTTGAAGGATGAACGGATGTGTGGATTTGTTGAGGTTGTTGATCCAAAGGGGCCGTTGGGGCTTGATCTTAGGATGAACGGATCTTCAAGGGCCGTCGGGGCTTGATCTTGAGTTGGTGGAAGTTCTTCAAGGGCGTTGGGGCTTGATCTTGAACTGAACGGATGATGAACGATGAACACTTTCCTCAAGGGCCGTCGGGGCTTGATCTTGAGTTGGTGGAAGTTCTTCAAGGGCCGTCGGGGCTTGATCTTGAATTGAACGGATGATGAACGATGAACACTTTCTTCAAGGGCCGTCGGGGCTTGATCTTGAGTTGGTGGAAGTTCTTCAAGGGCCGTCGGGGCTTGATCTTGAAGGTGGATTTGACGAAGAACGAAGATTGCTTTCTTGATCCTTCGGGATTTGCTTGAGAGCTTTAGAGTTTCAAGGCTTCTTTCTTTCTTCCTTCCTTCCCTTCTTTTTCTTCTTTTCCTTCCCTTCCTTCTTTCTCTTCTTCCTTCCCTTCCTTCTTTCTCTTCTTCCTCCCCTTCCTTCTTTCTCTTCTTCCTCTCCCAAAATGAATGCCTTGGCCTCCTATTTATAGAATTCCAAAACTTGATTTTTGGATTTAAATAATCAGATGAAATAAATCATTTCTGCCAGGTATTGACACGTGTCACACTTGATGACTTTTCCAATTTATTTCGATTTTTCGTTGAATCACACGCTACATGTAAAATTTATGTGACACGTGAACGTTGAAATTTTAATTATTGGTCAACATTTATTTCACCGAAATTTTGATGTCTACAAATGCCCCCACTTCAAGGCGCGTCGTAGACATGTGCTTGTCACGTGTTGAAGATGCGTTTTGAAGTCCCTTAATGTAGATGTCAACCCAAGGGCCGTCGAGGCTTGATCTTGAATTGGGCTGGAAATTTCTTCAAGGGCCATCGAGGCTTGATCTTGAGTTCGACTGGAAGATTTTCTGGTTTCTTCCAATCGTTGATTTTCCACAGGCTTAATCTTGAACTGAGCTGGAGGATTCTTTTGGTCTCCTCCGAAGGTCTGAGCTTACTCCTTTGATCTGGAGTTGAATTTGATTCAAGGGTGGTGAACACTTGATTTTGAATCGGACTTATGATTTCTTCAAGGGCCATCGAGGCTTGATCTTGAACTGGGCTGGAGGATTCTTTTGGTCTCCCCCTACCGTTGATTTTCCTTTGTGCTACTCTTGAACTGGGTAGCAGGATTCAGACACATGGCAGGCAAGCAGGAGGTGGAAGTGATGACCTGTTTCTTTGTTCAATCTTTCCCCAATTAGTATTGAAGAGGGTAGATCGGAAGACTGACTCCAAGTGCCGTCTGATTGCTCTTTTCACTTTGTCATGCAAGTAATAACAAGGACAAAGGAAAGGACATGGAGAAAGCATGATATAAGATACCTTTGCTTTTGAGGAAGCAGCGAATGAATCAGCACATATATTTGTTGTGTTTGTCTCCACATGCTTTGATGTATCATTTTCACTTGTCTTACTTGCTCCCTTTGCAGAAGTGGTATTTCCTTATGCAGGTTTGGCATCTTCTCGTGTAGTATTTGTCCTCTGATGCAGGAATGGAATGCAACCTTTGCATTTAAATGGTGCTTCAAAACATTACTTCTCCGCGACGATGAGTACTCGAGAGCAATGCAAGGTAAGCAACCAGGCAAAGGTTCCAGGCAATCAGTTCCAGGTCGGAAGTTTGATTTCAGGTTCCGACTGATAACTCTATTTCCCCTTCTCCTGCATGTAAGAGCAAGGACAAAGAAAAGGACAGGGAAAAAGCATGATATGAGATACCTTTGCTTTCGCCCTTGATGATATGAGATACTTTTGCCTTGGTGTCATTTGTTTGCAAGGGTATTCTCGGAGAGGAAGAAAACTGAGCATTTTGAGATGCTTTGCTGGGAGTGTACTCTCGGAGGTGAGGAAGAGTTGGGCATTTTTTTTTTCTTGTTTGCAGGTTTGCCTTGCCATAAAAGATGAAGGTCGACATATATAGGGATTTCCCAATAACAAGTGGTGGTACTGTTCTTTTACCCTTGTCGACAAACGTTTTGATCCCGCAAATCCGGCTTTTTTGAAATAGTGATGACTCTTCGATCTTTGAATACGCCTCTTTGATTTCTGAACAACGCCTCTTCGATTTCTGAACGACGCCTCTTCGATTTCTGCACGAGCGTCTCTTTTGACAAAATGGCGCGCGTTTTCTGAAAAGCAGAGAAAGCGTCGCCGAACTTTGCGCTTGTCAGCTAAAGACGTGTAGCTGCGATGATGACCTCCACGTGATCTTTTGACAAAGTGGCACCCGTGCTCTGAAAAGCCGCGAAAGCGTCGCCAGCCTCCACGTGATCTTTTGACAAAGTGGCACCCGTGCTCTGAAAAGCCGCGAAAGCGTCGCCAGCCTCCACGTGTTTTCAACTTTGTCGGAGATCTTTTGACAAAGTTGAACGCGTTTTCTGGAAAGCCGAGAAAGCGTCGCCTAACTTATGCCGGAAAATTCAGCTTTTGAGATTTGCAGAGCGATGTCTCTTCACTTTTGAACAAGCGGCCCTTCGATTGCTGAACCAACGCCTCTTTGATTTCTGAGCAAGCGCCTCTTCGATTTCTGAGCAAGCGCCTCTTCTTTCTTTATAGAGGTATTGACCATCTCTAACATGCACACTTTGAAGGTTGCTCATTCCTGAAAATCATCTCCGGCCTTTTGAGTTTTAACTTTATCCACCCATCTCTTTTAATACCTTTGAAAAAAAATGGCTAACCCATCGAACCTTAGCTTAGAATTGAGTCTCAGCAGTGATCCGGTTGCGCCGCTTCAAGGTAATGTATGGTGTCCTTCTTTCTTATCTTCTAACGGTCCTCTTACAGGTGAAGACTCAGTGATGCAGGACGCCACAACAGCTACAATAGTAGCTAGGAACCTCCTTACTCCAAAAGATAGTAGGCTGCTGTCAGGACGGTCCGATGAGTTGGCCGTTCAAGAGTCCCTCGCTCTTAGTGTTCAATGTGCGGGCTCTGTGTCCAACATGGGCCAACGCCTGCTTGCTCGGTCCCGTCAGGTGGAATCATTGATGGCAGAGGTGGAAGATCTTAAGCAGGAGATTAAACAGCTTAAGTACGAGAATAGAAGTTTGCATGTGCTTGCAAATAACTATTCGTCGGGCATGAAGAGGAAGCTTGAGGAGCTTGATGATCGTCAACGGTTTGCAGCTTTCTTCCAAAGGCACCTCTTTCCTGGGTCATCCAGCGTTCCGCCAAGTATTGAGGCCTCGAATGCTCTATCTCCGATGCCTCTTGCTCCAATGCCTTCTGCTCCGAGAGTGTTGCCACGTAGTGGGGCTTCACGTACACATCCTTTGTGAAAGCTTCAACTTTTTTTTTTTTTTTTTTTTTTTTTTTTTTTTTTTTTTTTTTTTTTGTACACATTTGTAATTTCTCGAAAATCAATGAACATGCTTTGTTTTATTTAGTGTATTATGCTAAATACAGATAAAACATATACACCACTGTCCATCATCAATTTTTTATTCTTTTCTTTGCTTTCGGTGGCGCTGATCCACCATTCATTTATATATATATTTCAGATGGTGCCAGAAGCACCACCATTGTTTTTTCCTTTCTTTTATTATATATATATATATATATTTTTTTTTTTTTATTATTCTTTTGAAAGATGCTTCCAGCATCATCATTGCTGTTTTTTTTTTTTTTTTTTTATTATTCTTTTGAAATATGCTTCCCGGCATAATCATTGCTACTTTTTTTTTTTTTTTTTTCTTTTTTTTTTATTTCTTTTTTTTCTTTATAAGGCCATCTGCAAGGCTGAGTTCGTGGGTGAAAACCCAGGCCGTGTCCGAGAGAAGACGGAGGAGATCTTTGAGTGTGTGTTGACAAACTTTGATTTTGTTGATCACATTGAAAGGCAGCAGCCATGGCGGAAGTGCAGAAGCAGCCAGAGCTTGAAGCAGAGTGTAAGGCGTCGAGTTTGAAGACCGGCTAGTCGTTTGACAGCGGTCAATGAAGCTCTTCGT